GTGTGAAAATGACCACCCTACCAAAAGCAATCTGCAGATTCATTACCATCCCATCAAAATCTTAAAACTTCATATAGAAACAAACAAAAGCCCCAGGATAGCTAAAAACAATCTTGAACAATAAAAAAAAAGTAATGGAGGTGTCACCATTCCTGATTTTAAGCTGTACTCCAGAGCTACAGTAATAAAACCAGCATGGTATTGGCAAAAACAAACAAAAAACCAGACAAGTTGTGGCTAGAGAGATGGTTCAGTGGTTAAGAGGACTGCCTGTTCTTCCAGAGGATCTGGATTTGATTCCCAGCACCCAAATGATGTCTCAGAACCATCTGTTTCTAAGGTAATCCATCGTTTTCTTTAGGTCTCCAAGGGTGCTGCATGCAGGTGGTTCACAGACGTACATGCAATTAGAAACCCATAGTCACACAAAATATTTTTAAGTTAAAAAGAGACATTGATCAATAGAATAGAATTTAAGACCCTTGATATTTTATAAAGAAGTCAAAAATACACATTAGTGAAAAGACAGCATCTTCAACAAATGGTCCTGGTCAAACTGCATAGTTGCATGTCAGAGAATGAAACTACACCCTTCTCTCTCACTCTGTACAAAACTGGATTCCAAATGGATCAAGGATCTAAATATAAGACCTGATATCCTGAATCTGATGGAAGAGAAAGTAGGGAACAAGTTTGAACATGTAGGCACAGGAAAGGACATTATGAACCAGACCCTGATAGCACAGACATTAAGTCTAAGAGTGAATAAATGGCAAAGGGCATCCTCATTTGAATAGACAGCCTCCAGAATGGGAAAAATGATTTAGCAATTATACATCTGAAAGTTCTAGAACAAAAAATTCTAAACATTTAGAAACCTGCAGTAAAATGGGACATGGATCTAAACAGAGTTCTCAAAAGATGAAACCCAAATGGCTGAAAAACACTTTGAAAAGTGTTCAACATTTTTATCAATCAGGGAAACAGAAAACTACATTGGGAGTTGGTCTTACCCCAATTAGAATGGCCAAGATTAATAAAGCAAATGACAGCAGATGCAGGGAAAAGGGAACCACGTATTCACATCTTGTGATAATGCAACTTGGTACAGTCACTATGGAAATAAATCAGTGTGGAGGTTCTTCAAAAGCTGAAAATAGATTTACCACAGGATCGAGCTATACAGCTCTTGGAGATAAACATCTTACTACAGAGATACTTGCTTATCTCTATCCACTGTTTCTGTATAATAGCGATTGGAAACAGCCTAGATATCCATCAACTGATTAATGCATAATGACAATGTGGTACATTTATAGAATGGGAGATTATTCAGCTGTTAAGAAAAATGAAGTTATGAAATTTCCAGGTGAATGGATGGAACTGGAAATCCTGAGTAAGGTAACCTGACCCAGAAAGACAAACACCTATATTTTCTCTCATATGTGAGTGTTAGCTTTTAAGCTTTAGGTATATTTATTTCATTTAGAATGCCCACCTCTAGTCAAGGACTTATTCACAACTGACAGCTTCTGGGAGAGGGAAAATCCATTTTCTTCAATGGAGTGACATTGGGTACATTAACCACAGTCCAGGGTAGATTAACATAAACTGGACTCCACGGCTTTTGCATGTTTGTTTTCTTTTTCTTTCTTTAATATTTAAATTCATTTTACATACCAACCACAGATCCCCCTCTCATCCCTCCTTCTGCTCCCCTCCCCCGGCCCACCCTTCATCCTCTCTTCCACCAGGGTAAGTTCTCCCAAGGGAGGACAGCTAAGCCTGGTACATTCGGTCGAGGCAGGACCAAGCCCCTCCCTGCTTTATCAGGGGTGAGCAAGGTGTCTCATCATAGGTAATGGGATCCAGAAAGCCAGTTCATGCACTAGGGATAGATCCTGATCACACTGCCAGGAGCCCCTCAAACAGACCCAGCTATATAACTGTCTCACTTATGCAGAAGGTCTAGTCCAGTACCATGCAGGTTCTACAGCTGTTGGTCTACAGTTCATGAGTTCCTTTGAGCTTGGTTCAGTTGTCTCTGTAGATTTCCCCATTATGATCTTGACCCCTCCTTGCTCATATAATCCCTCTTCCCTCTCTTCAACTGGACTCCTGGAGCTTGGCCTAATGCTTGTTTATGGATCTCTGCATCCACTTCCATCAGTTACTGGATGAAGGCTCCATGATGACAGTTAGAGTATTTACCAATCTGCTTACCCCTTGGTAGGCCAGTTCAGGCACCCTCACCACTATTGCTAGTAGTCTGGGGTTGTCCATGTGGGTTCCTGGTAACTTCCCTAGCACCAGGTTTCTCCCTTACCCCATAATGTCTCCCTCTATCAAGATATCTCTTTCATTGCTCTTCCACTCCATCCCTCCCCTAGCTTGACCATCCTGTTCCCTCGTGTTCTCATCCCTTATCCCCTCCCCTTTATTACCCTCCCTCTTCCCCAGTTTACTCATGGGGGTCTCCTCTGCTTCCCCTTCCCAAGTTGATCCGTATATCTCTCTTGGGGTCCTCCTTGTTTCTAGCTTCTCTGGAGCGGTGGGTTTTAGTCTGATTATCCTTTGCTTTACATCTAGTATCCACTTGTGAGTGAATACATACCGTGTTTGTCCTTCTGAGTCTGGGTTACCTCACTCAGGATAATATTTTCTAGTTCCATTCATTTGCCTGCAAATTTCATGATGTCATTGTTTTTTAACTGCTGAGTAGTACTCCATTGTGTAAATGTATCACATTTTCTTTATCCATTCTCGGTTGAGGGCCATCTAGGTTGTTTTCAGGTTCTGGCTATTATGAATAATGCTGCTATGAACATAGTTTAGCAAGTGTCCTTGTGGTATGATTGAGCATCCCTTGGGTATATGCCCAAGAGTGGTATCATTGGGCCTTGAGGTAGATTTGAATTCCAGTATTCTGAGAAACTGCCGTACTGATTTCCAAAATGGCTGTATGAGTTTGCACTCCCACCTTAAATACCAACACCACTGTTTTTATTACTGTAGCTCTATAGTAGAGCTTGAAGTCAGGGATGGTGATGCCTCAAGAAGTTGCTTTATTGTAAAGGATTGTTTTAGACATCCTAGGTTTTCAAGAAACTAGACAGCAAAATACCAAACACTCCAATTAAAAAAAAATGAGCTACAGATCTAAAGAGAGAATTCTTAACAGAAGAATCCCAAAAGACATTTAAGGAATTGCTTAACATCCTTAGTTATCAGGGAAATGCAAATCAAAACAACTCTGAGATACCATCTTACACCTGTCAGAATGGCTAAGATAAAAAACACTGATGACAGCTTATGTTGGAGAGGATGTGGAGCAAGGGGAACACTCCTCCACTGTTGGTGGCAGTGCCAACTTGTACAACCACTGTGGAAATCAGTGTAGTGGTTTCTCAGAAAATTGTTTGGTTTTTAAGAGAGAAGAAGAACATGAAGGTGGATGTGTAGGGAGATGAGGGATGGTCTGGGAGGAGTTGGGGAAGTGTAATGAATGTGATCAAAATATACTGGAAGTTTCAAAAGAATAAATGAAAGCATTAGTTTAAAAACACTAGTTTTAAATTTTTTTTAAAAGACAGTCTAACTATGCAGCCCTGGCTGGCTTGGAGCTCACTATCTAGACTAGTCTGGTCTCAAATTTACAGAGATCCACACACTTATGCATCTTGTGTGCTGGGATTAATGGCTGCATCACTACTCCAGACTTTAAATGTTTAAATTTCACTTATTTATTTAGTGTTGGGGGTGGGAGGGTATGTGCCTGCTGCTGCACACATCTGGAGATTATTTAATGCTGGGGTAGATGTGTGCATGCTGCTACACACATCTGGAGATCATTTAGTGCTGGGGTGGGTGTGTGCATGCCGCTGCACACATCTGGAGATTAGAAGACAACTTTGAGGAATTTATTCTCTCTTTCCACCCTGTGAGTGCTTGGGATCGAATTTAGGTGATCAGGATTAGTGGCAAGCACCTTTCCCCTTGGGATTGAATTTAGGTGATCAGGATTAGTGGCAAGCACCTTTCCCCACTGAAGGATATTGCTGTCCCGTCCCTCTTCATTGCAGTTTTTCATTTATAAAAGGGACCATAATATCTTCCTTCTATGATGTTGTAGAGAAACGGTCTTCAAGGAGCACTGATAGAGCAAGCATCCAGCCCACAGCAGGCAGTGCTGTCAGTGTGCTGCAGTGATTGTGGAGTCTCTCTCTCAGCTTACTCCATTTCGGCAGTGTTAAATAGTGATGCAGCATGTCCCCAACTGTCTTCTCCTAAGAAATGTTTGTGTTGTGCACGTGTGACTGTGTGCTACTTGTGTGTTGGTGTATGTTCATGTGTGTGTTCATAGAGACTGCAAGTAGACCTCAGGTTTGTTCTCCAGGAGCTGTCCACCTTGTTTTTTGAGATAGGGTCTTTCATTCGGCTTAAAGCTCTATGGGAGAGGATAGATTGGCTGGCAGTGAGCCTCAGGGATGTGCCTATCTCCACCTTCCCCATGCTAGGATTACAAGACCATGCCTCCATACCCACCTTTTTAGATGGGGTTTTTGGAACTGAACTCCGATACTTGTGCTTGTAAGGCAAACAACTTACCCACTGAACTTTGTCCTTTGCCCCCAAAATATGTTTTGAATGTGCTGGATATGTAGCTTAATATCTAACCTGCTTGCCTAGCACATACAGAACCTAAATTCAATCCCTAGAACTACAAGAAACTGGATGTGGGTGGCACACACTTGTAATCCCAGCACTCAGAAAGTGGAGGCAGAAGGATCCCAAGAGCAAGCAAGGCCTTCCTCAGTTATAGAGCAAGTTTCAGGCCAGTTTGGGCAAAAGACACATTTTGAACTATTTTCTTTTACTTACAATGACAAAATGTAGCTAGTGTTTCCCACCTAGTAGGCTCTATAGTTGCTGTTGTCCATAGCACTGTTAGTCCTCAGCAGGCCTCCGCATGTCTTAAGTACTTGCTGTTTCCCTTGCAGTGGTGGCTCTGTGTATAATTTGTATACAGACGAGGATGAAGAAGCTGAGCCTTCTCCTTCTGGGCAACAGATCATTGAAAATTCGATAACTATGAATAAGATGAAGCTGCTGAAGGCTAAGATGGAGAACATGAACCTCAGCAAAAAGGTGAAGCTGTTGGCTCTTGGCCAAGCTTTTCTCTAGCTTACAGTGGCAGGGCTCACAGCACTGAGGGCTGCTGGTAACTGTGGAAAACTATAAAGTATTACTCATTGCACGTTTCTGGTCTCAGCTTATTTATTAAGATGTAACAAATGAACATTGAGGTTTTTAGTCTAGCAACACACCTGAAAGGGTTATGCACACTGAGCATAATTCATCTTTAAAATAGCTGTCATAGCTGTAGCATGAAAGGGGGAACTAAAAGTTAGCTTAACCTTTCAATAATTACTTTTAAAAATATGATTTCAAGATTTACTCATTACAGGCGCTGAGACAGGTGTACTGTAGCCCAGGCTGGCCTAGAGCTTAGTATGTAGCCCAGATCTGCATGACCTCTCAGCAATCCTCTCTAGTCCTCTGAGTGCTTGGATTATAGGTATGTGCCACCATGCCTAGCAGATACTTACTATTTTAGTGTTGGTAGATAACTGCCAGTTTTCTAAAGTAATTCCAAAGTGAATAGCCAGTTTATATTCTTTCCAGCATTGGGTGAGACTTACACTTTTCCACATTCTTGACGGTTGTTTTTGTTTCTGGATATAAGTCTGTCTCTCTGTCTCTGTCTGTCTCTCCTCTCCTTCTCTCCCTAACCCCATACACAGCTGCACTTTGCCTTGACTTCTTTTCACTCTGTTAGTGCCTCCCCATATAAAATACACAGACTTTTAAAGCACTCCTTGAAGTCTGACCAGATGGATCAGCAGATTAAGGCACTTGCCACATAGGCCTGCAACCTCAGGTTCAATCCCTACTAAGGTAGGAGGGGAGAACTGACTCCTGAAAGTTGTCCTCTGACCTCCCTATGCATACCATGGCAAATCACCCAATAATAATAATAATAGTAGTAGTAGTAGTAAAATTTAGGCTCTGTTTGATGAATTTTTACAGTTAAAATACACTTATTTAAAACTATAACTCATATAACTTTTCTTTTTTTTTTGTTTTTCTTTTGTTTGTTTGAAATAGGATTTCACTGTGTTTGCCTGGTTTCTTAGAACTCACTATATAGATCAGGCTGATCTCAAACTCACAGAGAACTGCCTGCCTCTGCTGGCATTAAAGACATGTGCTGCTACAATTAGTTCCCCTGCCTTTTTCTGTAAAAGATTACCTTATAACCACTATTTTTACACATATTTCCACAAATAATTTTTTTGTCTGCTTTATATAAATAAACACCATAGACAATACAGTCTTTTATAAACTTCTGGTTTATCTTCTTCAAAAATATTTTAAATGTATTGTACAACTACACAGGGTTCTTTTTGTTTCTCTCTTTTCTATGATAAGCATTCAGGTGTCTGAGTTTTGGCTTTTATTAACAGAGCCACTGGGGCATGTTTATACATTCTTTAATGGACACATACCCTTTGTTCTTTGTATCATTAGCAGGAAACTTACAGAGTCCTAGGAAAGATAACATGTTTTATGCCAAACAGCCAGGTATTTGATGTATACCATAGTATACTACACTTTGTGAGGTGCAGGGAGGAAATCCTGAGTTTTAGGTTAGCTTGCCTAATAAGTTCTGTGCCAGTTTAGGCTACATAGTGAGACCCTCCTCAAAACAAACAGAAAGGAGTTACAGTGACTGTTTCGCATAGGTTTTCAACCAGTTCAGACTGCCATTAATAACACAAGAGTTCTGGTTTGTGCCAGTCCTTGCCAACACTTAACATTCCTCAGTGTTTCTTCTTAACCATTCTTAGGATTGTGTACTGGTTTTTATTTAATTTTTCTTATAAGGAATAATGTTAACTTTTAAAAAATGTTGACTCTATTTGGTTAAAATTGTGTCCTTTTTACATTCCCAGATACTTTGCTCATTTTAAAATTAGGTTATCTTCCTTTTATTTATTGGTTTGTAGACATTTAAAAAATGTGTTTTGTAGCTGAATGTGATGATGAACTCATGCAATACCAGGCCTTCAGAGGTGGAGGCAGGAGCATCAGGAGTTCAACTCAGGCTCAGCTGTATAGCATGCTTAAATCTAGTCTGGACTCCATGAGACCTGTCTCAAAGCAACCAATACACATATATTTATATGTATGATATAAAGTCTTTATCAGAAGTATGGTTTGCAGTTTCTAATACTCTGTGACTTTCTCTTTCACCCACTTTTGATGAATACTGTTAATTTTAATGTATTATAATTTATCAGTTTTGCTATTATGATTGGTATTTAATAATTTTTTATGAAATATTTTCCTGTCACAGGTCTTGAAGACTTGCTTCCGTGGTTTTCTCCAAAACTTTTAGGTGGCTATTTCTTTCTAGTTTAGATCTACAATGTTGTTCTTTTTTTTTTTTTTGATATTAAACTTGGGTAAAGATCATTTGTTATTTACTCAGATGGTGAACAATTGACAAAATATGCTCTAATTTTTGTTCACGTAGTAATAGAACTTTGAAATAGGAAACAAAACCTACAAGAAATAGATGAGTGCTTATCTCCAAGGATTTCTACCCAGCAGAGCTGCTAGGGCAGAGAATGGAAAGGTTTCCCAGAGGACCTGAAGAACAGTAGCAACTCACTTGACCCAACTGGCATTTGCAGAATGCGTCACCCTACAGCAGAATATGAATTTCTTTTTAAGGGAATATATGTAGAACATTTACCCCAAACAAAAACAGTATTTTGTACATAAAATAAATTCTAATAAATTTTGGAAGGATTCAAATCAAAAAATGCTCTGATTTACAAAAGAATAAAACTGGAAATCAATAATAGATATCTGGAAAAAAATCTGATGTTTCAAAATAACAAACTTCTGAGTAACTCCTAGGTCAAAGAAGAACTAGAGAAGTTGAAACATATTGCATACTGAATAAAGCAGTTCTGGTAGTGTAGGCTAATCAACTTTTTAAATCGATGAAATACTTTTGTGTTGTTGGCATGACTCACTCTTGGTTATGATGTAGTTTTTCTATGATTTTAAATTTTTGCTAATGTTTTTCTCAGGATTTTTATTCACCAAGGGGAAGTGATCTTCAATTTTCTATCATACAGCAAAATTGAGAGAGGAAACTACCACCTAGTTACTATTTTTAACTTATTTTCATTTTAAATAATGGTAAACTATATAAAATTTATTACCAATCTTATTTATTTATTTATTTATTTATTTATTTATTTATTTATTTATTTATTTATTGACAGAGTCTCACATAGCCTAGGCTAGCCTAAAACACAATATATAGTTGAGGCTGGTCTTGAACTTGAATTTTCTGGTCTCTACCTCCTACATGCTGGGACTACAGGAATGTGCAACCACATGGGCTTTAATTGTCTTTAAACATAATCCTGTTAGTGGTGTTAAGTATGTTTATCTCTTTGTTCAATTAGTCTTCAGAATTATATCTTACAAAACTGAAACTTGGTATTCCTTAAAACCATCTTCCTATACCCGCCTTTAACCTCTGGCAAGTACCATTCCACTTCCATTTCTGTGAGTTTCTCTACTGTAGATACCGTATGTAAGAGTATTTGTGGCCAGATTATTTAATTTAGTGTGACATCTCTGAGGTTCATTCATGGTGTGGCATATGTCAGAACCCCTTTTTTTTAGAATGAATAATTCCATTGCACATCTGTACCACATTTTGTTCATTCATTTACCTATCAGTAGACATTTAGGTTGCTTTCACATTTTGGCTGTTGTGAATATTGGTGGTATAAACATGGGTACAAATACCTCTTTGGGACTTTGGCTTCACACACACACACACACACACACACACACACACACACACACACACACACACACACACTTTATTCTTAGATAATTTGACACATGTACACAATTTGTAGTAACCCTCTCCAATCCCCACCATACCCATGAATCTCTCTTGTTTTTGTTTTGTTTTGTAACTCACTGAGTTTAACCAGGACCATCTATCTATGTGACCATGAATTTGGACTTGTCCAATGGAACCTGGTAAATTCAGCAGTGGCTACACAACTGATAACAATTATATTAGATATTTTAAGGAGTATAATCCCATTGCTTTATAAATTATTCCTCAGTTTTGTTTTATCTGAATTACACCATGATAAGATACTGGTTACTTCTTTGGCATAAATGTCACACAAAAGATGTATTCTTTGTATAATACATCCACAGAAACATTATATCAATTGTTAATATTTTCAATTTATCATTTTAGGATTTCCTGTTAGCTCAAAAGTGGTTGAGTAGATTTAGATAAGTTTTGGTGGCTGAGGCTTTTTGACTTTCATTGTGTTTAATTTTTAGTTTTTTTGCATGGAAATCAGACAATGTCATTTATAGTTCTGCTGTTTAGAACTTAATTATTAGAGATCTGATATTTCCATGTGTGCCCGATGTATATTCGAAAGATAGTTTATTCTCAACTTCAGATTAAAAGTTTTACAGTTATTTATCTTTAAGACCTGCCTCATTGATGGCTTATTTGTGTCAGTTTGATTTCTTCTGCAGTGAGAGCCATGGTACATGAAAGCCCACGAAAGGTTTCTGTGTGTTTCTTTTCACCCTACAGGAGTGTTTGCTATGTGGTCTCTCAAGTGTCAGTAGCACTTGGGTTGTGCTGTTCCTGAAGGTCAGGGGACACTTGCTGTCCTGTCGTCATCCCTAGACCTGACACCTTTTGCCTCCTGCACATTAGCTAAGTGACAGTCAGAAAACTTACTTTGCTTTCTCATTTCTTCATTCTGTTTCCATTTTTTAGCATTTCTACTATTAAAGAATATGTAACGTAAATCATTTGTCTATCTTAGCCTAGCTGATGTTTTATTGTTAATGCCATGGTTTCGAGGAGTCTTTTTATGGAACTTTTCCCATACTTTTTTGGTTAGTTGCATATCTTAATAAATGCCTCAGGAAAGGAAAGGCTTGTAAGTACTAAATTTCTAGAAGTCTAGAACTTAAGGAAAAAAACCCCTTAGGTGATAATTTGAAGACTGCTTTCAGCAATCATTTCTATAACTGGTGAGCGATGATTTATTCAGATAAGAAATGTTTGGGGCTTTTTAACAATTTTGTTCTGCTGCTGCTTTTTATACTGCAGTTGAAGTCTTCTTGCCAATGCACCCCACTTTTCTTCATAAATGGCTTCATTTTAAAATTTTATGTGTCCGCCTGTGTTAGTGTTTTATTGCTGTGAAGAGATGCCATGACCACAACACCTCTTATAATAGAAAGCATTTAGTTGGGGTTTGCTTAGAGTTTCAGGGGGTTACTTTATTGTCATCATGGTGGGGAGTATGGTGGCCTGCAGGCAGACATGGTGTTGGAGAAGTTGGGAGTTCTACATCCGGATCTGCAGGCAGCAGGAAGAGAGACACTGGGCCTGGTTTGGGCTTTTGAAGCCTCAAGCCCACCCCCAGTGACATACTTCCTTCAACAAGGCCACACCTCTCCAACAAGGAAATGCCTCCTAATCCTTTCAAAATAGTGCCACTCTAGGAGCCTATGGGGTCCATTCTTATTCAAACCACCACACCTCTCATGTTTAATTTATTTTATGTATCAGGTTCTTGCTGTGTACCCAGACTGGCTTTGATTTTGTAATCTTTGAGCCTCACCTTCCTGAGTGCTGAGATGACGTGTGTGTGTGTGTGTGTGTGTGTGTGTGTGTGTGTGTGTGTGTGTGTGTGTTACCAGAGTCTGTTGGTTCTTACCCTCCTCTTAGGCCACTTCCCTCTCACTCCCCTAGTCTTGGGTCTCAAACCCAGGGCCTCCCACAGGCTGGGCAAGCACTGTGACCACTGAGCTACACCTCCAGCCCTGGCTTTTTGGAGATGAATTATTCTGGGTCAGTTTCACTGCATGCTTATGCTCTTTTAACATAAAGTATTTTGTTATTTTTTTTATAACTTGTTAATTTTATAATGTTTAGCTTTTTATTTCATTTTGTTTGTAGGGAACTTCCTTTATACATATAGTGGGACTTCATTTTATAGTAACTATTTTCTGTTATATTTTAAAATTCTTTGTGTTTTATTTTCATTCTTTTGGATGTTTTTATACCTTTTCTTAGTACTCCTGATTAAATGTCTTGTTGAATCTGGTTTTCACCAGGTGGTGGTGGCACAAGCCTTTAATCCCAGCACTCGGGAAGCAGAACCAGGCAGATCTCTGTGAGTTCAAGTCCAGCCTGGTCTACAGAGCGAGATCCAGGATAGGCACCAAAACTATACAGAGAAAACCTGTCTTGAAAAGAAACCAAAAAAACCAAACAAACAAATAATCTGGTTTTCTTTGGGCATCTTCATTTTGGAATGATTTCATTTTTTACTGATTATTTTAAGTTTGGCCAGCTTAAATAGTGTCTTCTAATTCTTTTGTTCATTGTATCTTGGTTGTGGATTTATGATTTGATGTATTCTTTGAATATTATCTGCAAAAGCTAACATGCTCCTGTAATCCTCACACTGCAGAGGCTGAAACATGAGTTCTAGGCTGGGCTTCACTTACCCTTTCTCCAAAATCAGCCAGGTTCAGGGGATTGCTCATTGGCTAAAGTATCTTCCAGGCAAGTATGAGGACCTGGGTTCAACTCTCCAGAGCCCACATAAACAGCCAGACATGACGACTTGCATCTGCAACACCAGCAGAGACAGGCAGCTCACTGGCCAGTCAATGTAATATAATTAGTGAGCTCCAACTTCAGAAAGAGACCCTGTCACAAAGAGTAAGGAAAAGCAGCAATTGATAAAGACACCTATATCAACCTCTGACTTCTACATGCATGCACACACATGGATCTGCACACATATACCTACATGCACACACACCACACACATTAATAAACAAAAAATACAAATACTAATCTAAAGACATTTAATTTAGACTGGAGTATTGTGGTGAAGTTTTCTCTGGCTATGTTATGTTAGGGGAGAATTTGTATGTGCTAAAATATTCTGATTCTCACTTCCTGTTTTATTCTAATATGGATTTGTTGCCCCCTTTTCTGTTCTTTTTCTTAAAACTTTATTTAGGTAAGTATTAAGAGTTATGGGCTAATACATAAAATAAAGATATTTTAAGTAGGGAGGTAATTTATTTCAAGAGCACTCTTTTTGTGTTGTTTTTAATCATTGACACTCCCATTTCAGGGAAGACTAGGTGGATTTTCTGATTCTGATATTTATATCTTTTTCTCTATACCCCTCTCTCACAGTAGAGCCTCCTTAAAACTTAATCATTAGTATAGATCCCAATCAACTTCAGGTTGTTTCCTTTTGGCTTCTATTAGCCCATTTCATATCCTGGATATGAATCTTTTTGGTATTTACACAGGTGGGATTTTCTCTTTTGCGAGTATGTTTTATTTTGGTTTTATCAGCCCTAGGCTGCCCTTCCTCTCTCTTCTCTTTGAAGCTCCGCATTCCTGCTTGTACCACAGGCATTAGCTTTGTAAATGAGCCTCCTCCATTGATTATTTTCAACATTAGAGCTAATTGGAAGCTCATATTCTCTGTCCGTTTGCTGATGATTTGGGTCATGGGTAATTTTATTTGCTCGTATTGTTGATCTCTTTGGATGTTTTTGTATTTATTTACTTGGGAGGGTATGTGTTACTCCTTAGGTTTCAGCAACTATTGTTGATTTCTAAGGCCTGGAAAACAATTTCCATTTTTGAAAAATTATTTTTGGTAGATACATAGCTGCAGGTTGGCAAGACAATGACTTCAGGGTGAAAGTGGCTATAAGAACCAGCTCCCCTTTGCAAGGGACTTCCATCTATCCAGCCTTTCTAGTTCTCCTTTTCTCAACTGGTACCTACTGAATTTTCAGGCTGTTGGAATGTTATCAGACTTTCAGTTCATCCTCTCTCTGCTCATCATCACTATGCTTAAGAGCTGAGGCTCCTCTCTTGAGCTCTGAACTTCACTTTTCTGTGATATGTAAACTCTCTATGGCAGGCAGGTCTTGTCCTCGGTTTACTGACACGATGGGTTCATGTATATAGTATGCACTTGTATTATGGCTAAGATGCTTATACAGAGAAAGGAAACAAAAGCAAAATTAACCAAGGGAGAAGCATATGGACCCACGCCCAGGTGAAGCAGGCACAGGCATCATAGAGCCTTTCTCAAAGACATCTTAAGACGGCTTGGTTTCTCTGTCAGGGAGTTGTGACAGCACGTGTGAGATCTCAAGGGACTCCATTAGCGACTGCACAAGGGACTTTTTTCTTTCTTTCTTTCTTTTTTTCTTTTCTGTTTTGAGGCTTGTTCCTGTGTGTGCCCTCTGCCTGCTAAGTGTCCATACCTCTCAGACTCGGAAGAAAAGCAGATATCCATTATAAACATTTGGTTGCACAAGCAGTTGAGGCACAACTGTTGTGATGGGTTAGGGTAAGACCCTTTCCTGAAACGGAGGTCCACAGAAACCAACAAAGGGACAGCCTTTTCAAGGCCAGCAGTTTACTTCTGTTAGCTTTTTTTCTGAGTACCTAACTATACACAGTCATCTTACTGGGAAAAATGCCGTATCTCATATAACCAACATTTTCTGCTTAATAAAAGCCTGAGAAAGAATTAATTGTCAGGAAATAAAACAAAATTATTTTAACATCTTCAGAAAATTATGGTCAATAACGTGATATAACAAATCCTCAATGATAATCTTAAGATTTTTAACATTTTAAAGCATTTCAGTGTTGTTGTTTTGTATTGAGAAGACCCGTCTTGTGGCCTAGGCTGGCATGGAGTGGACTCTGTAGACCAGGCTGGCCTCAGACTTAGGACAAACACCCTGCTTCAGCCTCCCAAGTGCTGACATGATGGGTGTGGGACACCACACCCAGCCTCCTTGAGCACTGTAAATTGAGGTAACAAAAATGTCAATATGGTAAGTAACATTTTCTCCCCTGATTCTTGCTGAAGGACAGCGATAAATATGTTGAGGAATTACATGTGCACTCTTTTCTTGTAGCCTAAGAAAGTTGTCAAGCTAAAACCTCGTCCACCTGTAGCCCCTCGACCTCCCAGCAGTTCCACAGCAGCAGCCCGGCACCGACTGTTAAGAGTCCTGCCTCACATCGGGCAATCTTGTTTACCTTCTCCTGGCAATGCATATCTCCCTGAAACATCCAGGAATGCAGGCTCAAGTCCTGCAGCAGCTCAGGCCCCTGCGGATAGACCAGTATCATCTCTCAGAAACGAACTGCTGAAGGAGGATGATTGGGAGATTAACACACTGTCTCATCCCACGGGTAGCATCAGACTGCTACCTCAGATGACCCACATAGAAGTGGAAAATGACAAAGAGCTTGCAGATTCCGTACTTCATCTTGGATCATCCCTGCCTAGGCGGACAAAGCACCTTTCAGGGAACTTGCCATCTAACAATGAGGATGATGTCTTATTTCCACCGTCAGAAGAGTGTGTATCTGAAGAGTTGCTCCTGACGGAAGTAGGTCCTTTTGCCCCATTTGCAGAAGGAAATGATGTCGAGCACTCGAGCAGTGGTGTAGAAGGCATAGGGAAGGTAACTCCAGAGTTCCCACTCGCTAAAGGTGATAGAGGGCTGAGAGCCGCAGAGCAGCCTCTGAACCATGTGGCAAGAGTGTTGAGCAGTGACCCAGTAGACAATGCAATTCTTAACCACCGAGAGTCGAGCTCTCACAAGAACAGACTCCTGTCGCCACTTCTCTGTGCTGCACCAGTGTCACTACATAATTCTCTGGTGAAGCCACAGAGACAGTCAAAATGTTTTGAGTCTGGCAACCCCTCAGCGCCTACTTCACAAAATGCCCTGCGGGAATTGGACATTCGAACCATAGCCGATTCTTCTTTCTCTAGGACTGCTCGCTTTCGTGGTGTTAAAGTCGATTCTCCTGGGAAAAGATCTGATGTTATTTCCAAAGTCGAAGCTCGAGATATCACAGAAATGGCTAACAAAGCTTCCAAAGAGCCTGTTGGTTGTGTAAATAATGGCTTTTTGGCTTCACTGGCACGGAGTGCAAGCAGAGACAGTTTGCAGAGCACGCGTGGGGCAGGCAGGCTTCGGCCCTCTGGAATTGGGTTGTCTACAAACTTCCAGCACTTCCAGGATGAAAACGCTAGGAAAAGTTCTCCCCAGTTAGAACCTACAGATTTTTTTCTAGTAAGTATTTTCTTTTCAGTTGATTCTTCTAGTTAAGTCTTGTAGTGAATGACGATTTCAAATTTAGACTTTTATTTACATAAATAAAGATGCCTACAATTAAATTGTTTTCCCATACATTTCACTAAAATGCTTATCTAATTTGTAGGAAATATATTTGATGATTGTTTTTTGATTTTTTGAGACAGGTTTCCCACGTAGCCAAGGTTGGCCTGGTACTCGGGATGACCTTAAATTCTGATCCCGGCTTCTAAGTGCTGGAATTACAGGCATTACTGCCAGGCTCATTGTTATTCTGTAGTTTTTCAGTGATACATACTTTCATTAAGGCTTTTTCCAGTGTCAAGACTCTTATCTAAGCCATCAGATTTTACTTGTTTAAGGACAAATAATCACAAGAAGCAAGATTAGATTCCAAGTTAATTTAAACGTAAATAGAATAAGTAATTTACAGTGGATGCCCGTCAGCATTTTAATAATAGGATACAAGTAGTTGATGTTTGGTGATCTATTCTGCATTGACTCACCTCTGTAGGTGTTTTGTGTTTTAATTGTAGTCTGCTCGTGGTATTGGAATGAGTGGAAATAATGCAGCAGCAGGGAAAAGAGTAGGTAAGCCTCAGCTAATTTTGAAAACAGCGTAAGAATCACAACATTAACATACTGTTGAAGTCTCAAGGAGAGATGGAAAGAACGTTCTCTGTGGTAGGTACAGGGTAAACTCTGCTGAACATTTCATTTCAGAAAATAATTTGTGACCTGACTACAAGGATAGCACATGTGGAAAGAAAACAATCTCAAGTTGGTATTTCCTGTCTGTGGAGCACTGTGGTCTCTATGAAAAGACACGTTTATAGAAGAGTTAACACCTTTACTGATGGCTGGCCATTTAAAAAATATAGTGGGTTCAGGGTGGGCCCTGAGGTGTGTTTAATATTTTCATCCAATATCAAGGGAGTGGTAAGAATCTTTTGTTAGTAAACTGATTATTTCTGAACAAAGAAAAGGATAATTTCTAGGTCCAGCCCTTTCTGTACACAATAGCAGAAGCAGCTCTAATTTACACGTTCTTCCAGAGGTAGCTCGCTGAGGATGCCTTGGCTGATGATTATGTTCCAGGAGGCAGGAAGCCTTTAATATCTCCTCTTTTTGTCTAAGCCAGTAGTAAATTCACCCAAGGTGTGCTCTCTGTAGCTCTGGAGTTTTAAAATACTTTTCTGTTTTGTGGACTTTTATGCTTTTTTTTTAAGAGACACATTAGATTTGTTTGTAAGGTCTAAGAATATAAAGTCCGGGGTTGGGGATTTAGCTCAGTGGTAGAGGGCTTGCCTAGCAAGCGCAAGGCCCTGGGTTTAGTCCTCAGCTCCGAAAAAAAAATAAAGTAAAATAAAATAAAGTTCTGATATATTCATATTCATTTACAATTTATTTTTTTTTTTGGTTTTTTGAGACAGGGTTTCTCAGTGTAGTTTTGGTGCCTGTCCTGGATCTCGCTCTGTAGACCAGACTGGCCTCAAACCCATAGAGACCCCCCTGGCTCTGCCTCCTGAGTGCTAGGATTAAAGGCATGCACCCCTACCCCCACCCCCACCCCGGCTTTCATTTACATTTTAAAAGGGTTTTCATTGTGATAAACTGTACATAAAATTCTTCTTAAACCTGCATTTTGGTTGTTGTTTGAGACAGGGTCTTGTGCGGCCTAAGTTGGCTTCAAAGTTATTACATAGCTGAGGATGGCCTTGAACTTCCATTCTTCTGTTTCTACCTCCATGTACCACTATGCTGTAGTCGAATGTTTCTCAGGTCCTGCCCAGCCCCCCCGCAGTCCTGCAACCCACTTATAAAATAATCCCTCAGAAGCTTATATTAATTATAACTGCTTGGCCATTAGCTCAGGCTTATTACTGACTAGCTCTTATACTTAAATTAACCCATAATTCTTATTTATGTTTAACCACATGGCTTGGTACCTTTTCTCAGTTCTGCCTTGTCATCTTGCTTCCTCTGTGTCTGGCTAGTGACTCCTGACTCAGCTTTCCTCTTCCCAGAATTCTCCTCGTCTGCTTGCTCCACCTATACTTCCTGCCTGGCTACTGGCCAATCAGCATTTTATTAAACCAGTGTACAAGGGCATTATCCTATAGCACTATGCCATGTTCAATAATTTTTTTATTTTTATTTTTTTTAATTTCATTTTGCAATACAATTCAGTTCTACATATCAGCCACGGATTCCCTTTTCTCCCCCCTATGGACCCCCTCACCTAATAATTTTTTTTTATTATTTGAGACAGGGTCCTACTCTGTGTCTTAGGCTGGCTTCAAACCCAAAATCCTCCTGTCTCAACCTATCAGATGCTGGATTCCATACATATACCACCAGTCCTGGTCTTTAATCGTTTTTAAATGTATAGTTCCATAGTATTAAGTACATTCACATGTTGGGCAGCCATGACCACATCCAATACCAGTTCTCTGCAACTCTTCAGAGTTTTTTTGACAGATCAAATTTTTTCATTTGCTGGATATTAACCTGTGGCAAACTAGGTGGCATGTACCTATAGTTGTAACTACTGGGAAGGCTGAGGCTGAGAAACTGAGGCAGGAGTATTACATGAGCCTATGGACTTTAAAGAGTAGTTTGGGCATTGTAGTAAGATCTTGTCCTAAAGGTATCAAAACAATCAGAACCACAATGCCACAAAAACTCATCATCTTGTATTTTCTACCCATTACAGCCTCTGGCAATTGTTATTTTATTTGTTATCTCCACGGTTTATGACTTAAATACCTCATAGATAATATTTGTCTTCTTGGGATGGCATATTTTACTAATAACACCTTCAGGGTTCATTTTTGTTATCACATGGGTCAGAATTCCTTTTTTTTTTTTTTTTTGGTTTTTCGAGACAGGGTTTCTCTGTGTAGCTTTGCACCTTTCCTGGATCTCACTCTGTAGACCAGGCTGGCCTTGAACTCACAGAGATCCGCCTGGCTCTGCCTCCCGAGTGCTGGGATTAAAGGCGTTCGCCACCACCGCCCGGCTCAGAATTCCTTTTTAAGGCTCATGAAATTCGATTGTTCACATAGACCATATATTGCTTATCCATTCTTCAGTCACGTGGGTTGCTTCCATATTTTAGGTACTGTAATACTGCTATGACTATGAATGTAACAAACATGCCTTCAATTATTTTGGGTATATATGCCAAAAGTAAAATTGTTGGATCATATACATTTTTGTTTTAACTTATTTGTTGGCTTGTTTTTCGAGACAGGGTTTCTCTGTGTAGTTTTGGTGCCTGTCCTGGATCTCGCTCTGTAGACTAGGCTGGCCTGAACTCACAGAGACCCGCCTGGCTCTGCCTCCTGAGTGCTGGGATCAAAGGTGTGCACCACCACTGCCTGGCTCTAGTTTTAACTTTTTAAAGAATCACAGTATTGCTTTTCTGTATCATGTTACAGTCCTACCAACAGTGTATATTGAGTGTAGTCTCTACACATCCTGCCAGTGCTCTTGTTTTCTGGTTTACGCTTTTGTTTTTTGTTTTTGTACCTGCTATTGGAATAGATATGAGATGATATGTTCCTGTGTTCTGTATTTGCTTTTCTGTAATGATGAGTGATATTTATTCCATAATTAGTGATACCATTTGCATAATGTACTTATTGGATATTTGTCTGTCTTCTTTGGAGAAATACATATTTCTGTCATTTACTAATTTTTGATTCAGGTCAGGTTTTTTTTTTTATTGAAGTTCTTATTCTATGAATGACTTTTTTATTCTCTTGAAAACATCTTTTGAGGGTCAGCCAGATGGCACAGCAGGTAAAAACACTATCTGCCAAGCTTAATTATTCATTTATTTATCTGGTTATTTATTTATTTATTTATTTATTTATTTATTTAGTTAGTTAGTTAGTTAGTTAGTTAGTTAGTTAGTTTTTCAAGACAGGGTTTCTCTGTGTAGCCTTGGCTGTCCTAGAACTCACTCTGTAGATCAGGCTGGCCTTGAACTCACAGAGATCTGCCTGTCTCTACCTCCCAAGTGCTGGCATTAAAGATCTGCATAACCACTGCCCAGCAAGCTTTATGATCTTAATTCAATCCTCAGGACACACATAGTTGAAGGAAAGAATCAACTCCAGCCAAGTGTCCTCTGACCTCCACATGCATGGTCACACATATGTATACCCTAATAAAATTAGTAGATGTAAGAATGTTGTTGATTGTTTTTACTCTTTGTTCTTTGGCTCTTTTGGGAGGCCCACTACCCAGCTCTCAAATAAATCACACAGAGGCTTATTCTTTCTCATAGATTGCCCAGTCTTAGCTTGGCTTGTTTCTAGTCAACTTTTCTTAAATTAAATTATCCCGTCTACCTTTACCTCTGGGCTTTTATCTTTCCCTATTCAATATCCCTTTCTTTACTTATTATTCTCTGGCTAGCTGTATAGGTGGGTGGCTGGCCCCTGCCATCATCCTCATGTTCTTGCTCCCTCCTCTTCTTCCCAGATTTCTCCTCCTGTTAATTCTCTCTGCCTGCCAGCCCCGCCTATCCTTTCTCCTGCCTAGCTATTGACTGTTCAGCTCTTTATTAGACCAATCAGATGTTTTAGACAGGCACAGTAACACAGCTTCACTGAGTTAAACAAATGCAACATAAAAGAATACAACACATCTTTGCATCATTAAACAAATATTCCACAGCATAAACAAACGTAACACATCTTAAAATAATATTCCACAACATAAGAAAACTTTTTAAAAAAGAAAACATGTTTTGATGTATAAGTTTTTAGTTTAATTTTAATCAAGTCTAATTTGTCTGTTTCTCCATTGGTACCCAGCCTTTGATGTCATATTCAAGAAATGACTGCCAAATCCAATGTTAAAATCCAATTTTGTAGCCTGCTACTTTGCTGAAAGTGTTTATCAACTGTAGAAGTTTCCTGGTAGAGTTTTTAAGGTTGTTTATGTATAAAATCATATCTTCTGCAAATAAAGATACTTCAGTTGTCTTATTGCTCTAATTAAGACTTCAAGTACTCTGCTGAGTAGATATGGAGAAAGTGGACATCCTTGTCTTGCTCCTGACTTTAGTGGAATGATTTGAGTTTCTTTCCTTTTAGATTGATATTGGCTGTGGACTTGCTGTCAACTGCCTTGGTTATGTGTTGAGGTATGTCCCTTGTATCCCTTTAGGACTTTTTATCAAGAAGAAATGTTGGATTTTTTTCAAAGGCCTTTTATGCATCTAATAAGAGGATCATGTGAGTTTTGTCTTTCTGTCTGTCTATGTGGTAGATTGATTTATTTATGTTGAACTATTATTATATCTCTAAGCTGAAGTCAATTTGATTGTGTTGGATAATCTTTGTTATGTGTTCTTGAATATGGTTTGCAAGTATTTTATTGAGAATTTTTGCTTTTATGTTTGTAAAATATATTGGTCTATAATTTTCTATTTTTGTTGGGTCTTCGTGTGGTTTTGGTATCAGAGTAATAGTGGCTTCAAAGAAAAGTATTACAAAATGTTCCTTCAGTTTCTATTTTATAGAGTTAAAAAGAAAAGTATTGGTGTTAATTCTCCTTGTAAGCTCTCAAAGAAT